TATCAATACTTTATTTATTTATTTAAAATTTAATTATAATTTATAATTTAGCAATACTTATAAATTTTATTTATAAAAAATAAATATTAATCTATTCACTGCACATACTCAAATAATATAATTTTCAAAATCAGTAGTTAATTTCACATACTACAAAATTTTAAGGGGAATTTAATTGACTACTGTCATGTTAGAGAATATATTGACTTTTTTATAATTTCAAGATCCAAATTATATATGTATAGTTTGCGTTCCAGCGAAAAAAAATAGGGGGGAATGTTACACAAACAATTAACATTCATTTTATCACGGGTAAATTGTTTTTTGTCTCTAATTTTTGAAATTCAATTTTAATTCCCCAAAAAATTGAGATACTGTTTAGTGCCTCTAAGTCTAATTTAAGAATACACCACTTTTACTTTTCAGCAATGTAGATAACGTTTAAAGGGTGAAAACAGTGGTGGCAATATATGAAATCTGAAATTGGATTACTAACACATGCTTGTATAGTTATCCGATTGCTTAATATTAATAAGAGTTAATCACTTATACACTGTCAGTATAAAAAATTTTTACACTAATAACTAATTATATTTTTTAGAGCAATTTCAATGGGAGTTGTTTGTCCCATGAAACAACTCAATCCTTGATTTCTTGTCATTAGAGGACTCTGACGTGATAACATGAGTTGCTTGAAGAAGAGAGAGAGTTGTTTCTTCAAGCAACCGTTCCTTATAAGATTTCAAGCAGATTTTATTGAATATATTTTGGAACATTTCAGAGGTAATAATGATGAAAATTAATTTCGTATAATATTTCTGTATTTACTATTACTTTATTTTATTTTTAATATCTACTTATTGTGTATTTTTTCTCATAATTTATTTTCTTTCGTTGTAATGCAATTATCCTTTTTGATAAAAAATTAAATTTGGTTCATAATGATTAAAAAAAATTTCTAAAAGTTAAATTTCTTAAAATTTCTTACCATTGGAGTAAATTTGTGTTTGAATTACTTAATGTTGACATAGCACACTAGAGACCACTTATTTCATTTTTCAATGCATGAAGCAACTCAAATGAGTTGCTTCCATTAGAGATGCCCTTAATTGTGCCATATCACTATAAATGCATTTACTTTTAATAATGACATGACACAATTAAGAGATATAATTAGTTATCAGTGAAAAAAAATTTTACACTGACAGTATATAGATAATTAACTCTATTAATAACGTCCAAATTTAAGAACATTTTATCTTTGAGTTAAGTGTAAAGCTTTTTTACACTGACAACTAATTATATCTTTTAATTATGTCATATCACTATTAAAAATAAATGTGTTAATATGACTTAACACAATTAAAAGATATAATTAGTTGTCAGTGTAAAAAAATTTACACCGACAGTGTATAGGTGATTAACTCTTTATCCTTTTACCCAGTAAAATAAAATAAAGAAAAAATCTGAAAAGAGACTATTTAAGCTATATTCGGAAATTCGCGAACGCAATTTAAATTTAAATCTCAGTAGTTATTTAGAATCAGCAAAAAAATGCATTAATTTGGATAAACATACAAAACTTAAATAAAGACATTTTCGCTCATTATTAAGAGAGATCAAGACACAGCCATATTTTCAACCTTTTCCAACATTTGGTGGCTTCATTGCATTCCATAGCAGTTTGCATAAATTTTTTAGAAAGCCAACCAGCTAAAATACCCTGCTCAATGGGTCTACTAACTTGGTCTAATTTAGGTAGTATGTTTCTTCTTACACTTGCTCTGCACTAGGCTAAGTAGAAAATCTGTAAATACGTGCTCATATTCTGGCATTTTCCCATACCCTGCAGTGAGTAAACCGTAGAGGTTTAGATTTCATGTAATCCAATCATTAACATGTCATTTAAAAATAACACAGACAAACATGTCATATTTAAGCACTAACACAATCATAGACTAATGGGACGTGCTTAAATGCAAAGAGTTATACTTGCCAGGAAAGTAGTTGATGTCGATGACATAAAACACATCCTTTGTTCCATATTCCCGAATCATATCTATGTTGAACAAGCGGAGTCCCTAGAGACGGTGGTGCAATTTAGTTTTAGTATATCATCAGAAAATGAAAAATGACTGCGAAAGGAAGTAAAAAAGAAATGATATAATACCAATCTATGACGGAGCTCCCTTGCAAGCCTCTCCAACAATGGCCATGGTGGATGTTCTGTAACAAAAGTGTCACAGTAGAAATGAATGAGCCAGTATATATGACTTAATGGTCTCAAACATTCAGAAGGCCTTTTGTAAAACCTTAACGGGGGTCCTAAATCCTAACCATGTGGGACAGAAAAGATAAAACAATAGACACAACTAATCACACCTTTGACATTAGCCAAAAAATTACAAGAAAAAACAATAGTATTCCTTTTGAGAAAATGTTCCATCTTTTGGTGGTTGTGGACAAAGGGGAGTTTCCTAAGTCTCACCAGCAATATTAGGATCTAGATCAGCATCATCCGCAGAAGCTGCTGCACATGAAACTCTTGGGAAACGGAATACACCAGCAACTTTTGATAGCTCACGCTTACTGATATTAGGAAGAGAAAAACGCCTCACAACCTTTATGGCTTCCCCGACAATATAAATCTTAAAGAGAAGACCACCTGTATTGTCAAACCCCAACCCAAAATAGAAATTGAAAAAAAGGGAAACTAAGAGATTAGATAACAATGTAAATTGAAAACAAAAAAATCATGGTGTGTAGGTCAGTTCACAAACCATGATTGACAAACTCTTGTAGAACCAGTGGAGGTTCAAGCTCTGAGAGAGAGAACTCGTCGTAAGCAAGAAATAGTTCGTGTGACTTGGCACTGCCATCCACAACTAGTGGTTTTGCAACTGAAAAATACGGGGAAAAAATTGTAACATTTTTAAGATACACATGAGAGATGACAACCATTAGTCAACTAACTATATACAAGGTGTGTTTGTTTTATCATTTCAAAACCATTCAACGGAGTTTTTCCACTTTCCAAAGCAAAAACATAGAAGCAAGAGGGAGGATGAATTGACATTCAGTTGAATGGAACGTAGAAACAAACACATACAATCTTCAGTTTGTAAAAATAACACTAAAACAGAATATCCAATAGATACAAACAAGTTCTTTAAAGTCCATTCAAATATTCCAAATCATTTTCATTCAACACCCATCATTCATCAATGCAGCGGTTGACTGAATGCATGTCAACCACATGTTTAAAAAAGTAAGTTATAACCAGATCCATCCCAAGAATAATGACCAGGAAAAGAACATTAAACACATATACATACCTAATGGCAACTTCATCCCTGCTTTAGTGACTTCATAAGGGATAGTAGAGGGGTCTTTATCTTTTGTGATAACTAGCTGACGTGGAATGCCAACCTTGCCTGAAAAGGCAACTGTAGTTAATACATAAACATGGATACTAGTATCGCAGAAACCTAGTTTACAATACATGAAATACAGATTCAAGTTGAAAAGACAAAAACTTCTTACACTCCAAAAATAAAAAAATAAAAAATAAAAACTAAAAAGTAGTACGTCAATACAAGAGCAAGACGTATGCTGCATTGCTGATAATTCTAGCACTTCTCATTAAAGATTCATGTACTATCCTGAAACTTTCGGATGACAGTTTAATTGTGATATTCTAGTAAATTGAAGTAAACAAGTTACCATGACAGTCAGATAAGTTCAGATCCGCCACATCTTGCAGCATGGATTGGCGATTGTGTAAATGTTGGATTGCATCGGGAGGATCAAGGACAGTTACCTCTGGATGTTTTTGCCTATAATCCTTCAGAATTAAAAAGGGGAAAATAAAGGTCCAATTAGCCCCATCAAAATACAAAGTTTAAAGACTATTTAGAAAATGAATTAATCACCAATTACATATCATCACTTAGCTATGAACTGGTAGCAGAAAAAGACCAATATAGTAATTTATCATCTCATTAAACTGGCGTGCAAACCTTTTTAGGAGACAAAAGAAACAAAAGATAAAACTTTTATATGAAATGGATGCATTTGGTGTGTAGAATAATTGGCTTCTTAACTAGAAGAAAATTGACTTCCATGCCATACTACTGTAATAGTCACTATCAAAAGTATTAAAATACAACATTTGAGAAACAGAGAACCAAATAATAGAGAAAAATAATAATTTGTTCTTTGGCCAACAAACTCCAGCCATACCTAACCAAATTATTCAGATTAATCACAAAAGTAAATCCTCACTTGTTTGAAAACTTGGGGACCGATTTCAACTATCTGATCATGATTCATGATGAGGAGAGCATGAACTCTGCAAATTATGTCAGACAATAATAAGCTTTAAAGAATCCAGAAGATTTGGTGGTCCAGTCCATCACCGCCATTTCATGCTTAATTTCCAGACTAATGATACTAACGATTTTCATGCAATCAGCAATGCCATGAATGCATGTCAAAAAATAATAAAGCAATGAAAGATTGCTATCACAATGTGAGAGTAGTGTTGGAGTTCACAAACCTCAATAATTTCACTCCATTCCTCCCCTGACAACTGGAAATTAAAAAAAAACAATACAGTCAGATAATATATAATATAGAGAAGAGGGAAACAGAAGTGCATCTTAAAAAGCCAATAGCCTGTTATTGAAACACAAATTCAGCAAAACCATAAATGAAATCTCAAAAATAAAAAGAAAGTCGCGTATGTAGAACTTTGAACATCAATAATGATAAAAGGCTGAAAGAAATGCCACGGACCTTATGCAAGATGATATCAAAAGGACCTTGTTCTGGAAGTGGCTTGTTTACATCAACAGCAACAAAGTATATTCCCTTGTTCCTGCATTATACATAATTTTTACACATCACTATTGAAAGTGCTAAGATAGTAGCAAAAGAGTTGACGACCAGGTTTTTTTCAGATATACTGCCAGCAAAATATGTTACATACTAATAATACATGCACCATACATATCCAAGCAAGATTAAATGGTCAAGATAAACTCCAATCACACCCTTAAAATCTCACTTATAGTGAGTTAGGATAAACCCAAGAAGTAATTCTACTCCCCAAAATCATGGTATGACACCATGAAAAAGAAGAAACAACTATTTGCTGCTTTGCCTTCACCATGAAAAAATAATTATCTGTTTCTCACCATGAAGCCAATTCAAAAACACTATTGACACATCGCCCATATATAATAAGGATAGACTAGTTTACACCAGTATAGAGACTAACAATATTGAACCATTAAATAGGTTTATATGGAATGTGGGATTTTTATTGACCGAATCATTGGATTATAACTACCTATTTTGGGAAAAACCTTGCGAAAATTGAACAAAAAATAGAATATAATCAAATTGATTTCATTTTCAGATATTCAGAAAGTATTTATCAGGCTAATCTTAAAAGTAAATCAATGATTGATCAATAATATTACATCAATGTAAACTTCTTAAAAAAATCTGCATGATAGAAACTTTCTATTATGAGAAATGATCTGTTTATACAGGTGTAAGCCAAAATTACTCTTACACCATTACATAAATTTTTACAGGATTATTTTATCAAGAAGATCATCCACTAATTAGTTAGTACTTCACTGATATATGACAAGATTAACACTCTTTTAAAATATATGAAAATAATAATCATTAAAATATATTTTTAGTGTTTAAATTTTACAGAACTCGGGTATTGAATAATATACACAAACTATATTTCTTGTAATTCAGTTACCCAGTTGGCAGCAGTCTTTTCAGTGAACAGACAACAGATTAGAACATTTGTGGACAATAATGTAAATTTAACATTCCAGAGAATCAAGCAATGTGAATTAATTTAAATTAAGAATACAAAACCAGTAGGAAGATTTGACCTTGGGGTTGTCCATGTGGACAAATCCAAAGGAAAGTAGGGCATAAATGTTGGAATATTCTCATTTAAAATAGAATTGAGAAAAGACCATGAAATATGAGATACGTATAAACAAAATTGGCAAGTTTAAAATGAATTTAGAAATAACCAAAAAAAAGAAAGAAATAAAGAAGAAGAAAAAAACATAGTTGCCCGGGTTCGAGTGACGAAAGTGATAGCCATTAGGCATGGTGCAAAAATTGCTCCACCATTACATACTACACAGACAAAGACACGACGTGTGGCTGTGAACCCCACCACCGCAACCAAAAGCCGCTTTAACGCCAAACACGAAAGAAGTAAAAAGATAAAAACAAAAAAAAAAAATGAAACAAAATTTTTTTTTTAAAAAAGTTATTTTTCTTGAGGAAATGGAAAAGAAGAATGAATACGCATGCAGGTGAATACCGTGCAAGGGCGGTGAAAGTTGGCTGCATAAAGCTCTTTTTTTTCTTGGACGTTAAGGCGTAGCCAACGACCACTTTGTGCGGCGAAGAGGTGGTGGTGGTTGCCGCTTGTTTCTCGTCTTCTGGTTCTTCTTCTCCGCTTGAGATTTCCCCGTTGAGCCTCATGGTGGATTCAAAGATCAAATCTTTAGGCCTTGTCTGTTTGAAATTTGGAAACGGAATTTGCGAATCGCGCAAGAGGGGAAGAGAGAAATGTGGGAAGAGGAATATTGAGTTTGCAGAAGAAGAGGATTGGGTTTGGGTGTAATTATGAAGGAAGAAATGAGTGGAATGAGAAGAATTTATAAGAATAGAATAGAGTGGTGTGATGGTGCCAAGCCAAGCCAAGGTTGTTGAAATCAAACTCTGCTCTTATCCTTTTCTCATTTTTACCCTTTTTTGTCTGTCAGCTTTATTTACTTCTTCATTTGTTGCTTTGCCAATTGCCACCTCCTCACTGCAAGTCAAGCCAATATTTCCTAATTATTCATAATAAATTCTTTTACGCTAACATATAACCTAATCTTAAGTCTTAACTATTCGGATTAACTATATCTTAATTCTATATTCCTATTTATTTTAAATCATTTTTTTACTCGTATGTCAAAGGTTAACTTTTCAAAATCATTATTTCATCTCATTAATTATAATAAGATTGATATAATTATGTGCATAACTAAAAGTATATGAATTAACATAAAATCTAGATGCTCTTAATAAAATACGTAGATTATAAGTTGTTGAAAACAGTTTTACGTAACACGAAAATAATTGGATTGACATTTTTTTAAAATTTAATTAATATGTGCTTACAATTTAAATATTTTTTATATTGATATTCAATCAAAGATTATATGCATAATAATTATAATTATAAATTTACTCTAATAATTTATATTCTGCAATGTCTGTACTAAAAAAATAAATTCTGCAAACATATTTTTACAATTTATAATTATATATATATATATGTTCATCTCGTTTATAATTATCATCATACAAATATAGTGTTAAACTAATATTATTGGGTGTACTAATACTATGACTAACATCTACTTGTTTGTATTTAGTTAAACATTATCGAATCATTGAATATAATAATGTTAAGCTTTAGTTTTATTAAATACTCAAAAGGAAAAAATATCTATAAAGCACTAAGTTAAAATGATTTTGAAACATATTTTGAGTCAAAATATGCATTTCATAAGCATATTGCATATTTTAAATTGTTAGCAATGATGAATTAATTATCTTATAGTGTATTTATTAATAATTTGTATGAATCTCATATAGTTGTGTGATTTATTTGTGTGTGACGTGAATGAAATTAAATGTCTATTCCCATAAATATTTTTAAATCTAGATACTAGGGATCTCATGATAATATTTAAGTATATTTTCTATTTATTATCCATAATAATATAAATATTAGTAACCTTAATAATTAGTTCAAATTAATATATGTATAAGAACAAAGTCTTTCATGGGCATGATGAAATTGTCATGACTGTGATTGACTTAAGAGTCCCTATATGAATTGAAATAGCTATTGAGATCTTCATAAAAGTTGTAGCCTTAGATATTAACTTTCCAATAACTTTGGAATCACCTAAAAATGAGGTCAAGAACTCAAGTTATGACATTTTCGGTAAGCAAAGGTAAAGTTGTCAACATTAGTCTAAAATGGTGCAATTTTTATAATTTTTAGTATAGTATATGATGGAAATAAAACTTAAGGTCTTCATAAGAGTTATAGATGATTTTATTCTCTTTCATATGAGATAAGAATGAGCCTAATAAGAGTAGTATAAGTTTTTGTGTGATATTTTTATGTGGAAGTTGTCGTTATACAATAGTTAATTTTGATAAATTGTATGTTGACACATGTTGTATGATGGATGAAATCAATGAACATGAATAAAATACTTGTGCCTATTTCATGTTGTATGATGTATGGTGATAATGATAAACATGTATGCTATACTTGCATAGTTGAAATTGGTGATAAACATTTTATGTGTTATGTATGATATTGGGGTGTTATTCTTGTATGGTTGAACTCTTGATAAGCATTTGGTATGCTAAGTATGTTGGTATGACTTGATCTCTATATACATTGATATGGGGTAACGTATATAAATGATTTATGTTAAGGTATGATGCCGAGAATATTGTAGGCAATAAAGTATGTTGATTGACTTAGGACCAGAGGAGAATATATTGTTTTGAAAGTTGAAGATTCCATATAAGGAATCTTGTTATGACACTCTAGGAAGCCAATTGTTAAAAAAATCCTCCTTGAGTAGGTGTAAAACTCTTAGAGTGAATTTTGTTGATTCTCCTCTAAGTCCTTAGTGTAAAATAAAGCACGAGGTTAAGAGCTACAACCCTTAACTAATTGCTATAAAGGTTGTGTGGTTCCTTAATGATAGTTAGTAGGCTAACTACATATATAATTTGGTAATGCATATCAAAATCATGGTATGTCTATACCCAATTATATTACTCTTGACAATGAAACTATCTTTTCATAGTGTAAATGGAAACACCTAAGAAATAAGAAGTAGGGATTGATATCTTATTTTAGTTAAGGACCCAAAAAACACGTATGGCATGAAAGCGATCAGTGTTGATTCAATAGGATTAAGCTACTTAGACTGCTCAAGTGTATTTGGAAAATCCCTATTACTTTGTGTATTTCTTTCAAATAGGTTGATTTGGTGATTGTTATATGTCATGATGTGTTTATAAATGGTTTACATGTAAGTGTTGATGGAAGCATAAATATTCTCTCTCTATACTTGTATTCATTTGAAATCTAACTTACTTTTACATATTTTTCATGTGATTTGGACTGCAGTGGTCATATTTTTCATGTTAGCAAAGCATGGTTAGTAGGACTTGGGCTTGTGGAGCTGTTGTGGACCATTTTGTTGGCAATGTAGTCAAATGCTACCTTTAGATGGTATATATAGTTGCATTCGACCAACCCTTGAGATTTTATATTAGATGATTATACATATACTCTATATAATTAGAGTTATTTTTAGTTGTTTATATTTGTATATATATTATAACATGCATATCTAGGTATTTCGAGTATAAATCCTCAAGTATGATATAGTTTTACTACTACTAATTGTGATCCATAAGTGTAGTGATCATAGTGAATCAATACATTAAATTTAAATTTATATATCTTTATATTATAAATATTAATAAATTATTTCTATACATTAATATTTATATATCTTTATATTATAAATATTAATCAATGTTTTTATTATCATTTTAAATATATTTCTTATATATCTTTTTTATTCTAGATAATTTGAATTTTAAGATTATTTTAATCTTAATAAGTCTAATTTTTTAATTGAATTTATGAAATTTTAATTTCATATTGTTAAGAGTTAGTTATCAGGACTAATATCCTATTATTTATTCTCTCATTATTATGATTTATTCTCTCATTATTATGATGTAATTTCCTGTTTTACATTGTAATCTTTTTCTTTAAATCATATTGATTGCCTCACACAAATTGTGGTGAGATTTATCACATCTTACATGGTATCAGGTTACGGTTCCAAACCCTTGTGTCGTCATCTGCCACCACGGTCGTGCATTCTCCCCCAACCGTGCGATCGTCCAATTCTATTTGCGGTCCTCTCTCATGGCTGACGATACCACTCCTCCGTCTCTGCCGTTTGCTACCTTGGTTCACATGATCACCATTCGGATCACATCTTACACATATATTATGTATTAAAATTTATGTATTTTGACTTAAATAATTTATTATAATATTCTCTTGTTTATTTAAAAGCCTTTTGTCTTTAAGTGATATTTTCAAAAAAAATTCATTGTTATTATTATTACTATAATAACAATATATCGTTATATGCAATTTTTATTATTCATGTCATTTTATATAAAATTAAGTTTTTTTATTGGTATAATCATTGAATTTTAAATTTATAATTAACTATGTATTACCTTATTTGTTTGTGTGAAATTTTGTCAAAATTTTTATATTTGTATTCAAAATTTTAAAATTAATTATGAGAAAATAAAATTTTAAAATATTATGTCTACAATACTTATATTGTAGGTTAGAAGTTTGTTCGTTTTTTTTACACCATAAATTGGAAGGTTATTCTTATGTATACTAAAAAAAAATGTTTTATTAGATTTTAATATTTCAAAGAATATTCTTTTTAAAACTTAAAATAGTTTACATAAAATAGAATTGACAAGTGTCATGTAAAACTTTTCTTATTCCCATCCCTCCATCATGGGACTTCTTAATTATGAAAATGTGATTTTTCTTAGAATAAAACATAATTAAAACTATTGTTATGTGATTTTTTAATAATCGTGAGAATAAATATTTCACCATCATAATTCTAGAAATAGAGAAAGATAGCAAAAAAAAAAAAAAAAAGCGTCCTTATGATATTAATATTTAGACGTTCTTGGACACCCCTCCAGGTATATGCGGCCATGCGGGATTTGCTGTTTAGCTGGTATCATGGGAAATTGAGTAAGTCGTTCCTGCGTTTTAGTTTCCTTTTCTTCTTCTTTTTTGCTTTTTATCTCTTGTAACAATAAATATAGAGAGAGACATTAGGTTACCTATTTAATTTGAGTTAAATAGGATTATTATAGCATAAATACTTTTTAACTACTAAAATTTAAGATCATTAACCAAGTAAAAACAACTCATACCTCTGTGGTCAATGTTAACTTTTCACATGCAAGCAATAAGAATATTTGCAGAATAGTCTCGGAATATGCTTAAAGTTAGAGCAGGTAAATGCGTGATTTGGGGGCCAAACTCTTCATTACCACCCCAATTTGACATTCAACGGGAAATTGGGCCTTATAAAACCCTCTCCTAAATATGTGTGCTTATTAAGTTCAACATCAAGTCAATTCATTGACATTGATTTCCTTTTTTTAATTTGTTTTATTTTAGGATTTCTTAAAAAATCCAAGTTAGACTTAAAACCAACCAACGTTTGTAGATAATATTGGGTAACTTAGGACAAAACTAGAGATTTGCAATCTTCTTGATCTTGTATATGCTCTCAAATATTGTAGCTAGTTTGAGCTAAGAGATGTCTGACCCACTGACATTAATTTCCTTCCCTTTCCTCTTGAAAGAGACATAATAATCTAATATTTTTCTATATATATATACTCAGTTTTAGTCTTCTAGAGACATATATGCATGGTAAAATAGGTTCATATTATAAACACTGTTGTTCTTTTTGAATGAAAGATAGAAGCAGCAACGTGATCCATATTCGTCACATGCTCCAAATTATCCTATTTATCAGTTGACTTAATATAGCATCTGTTTTTTTCTTCAAATTCCGTCATCCACTTTCTTTTCATGATTCAAATTTTAGAATATAGTATTATACGAAACTGTTGCATGGCATGTGACATCAGTGATATATATAATTAACTCTGGCTTTTGGATGAGCTTAAATCCCTCGTGACCTTACATGAGTCCAAGGAGCAGCACAGTTGAAAACATTTTTGGAACCTGCTCTTCCTAGTCGTACACCCTTGTCGTTTGTCTTGGTTGAGATGCGATGAATCATCGCTCAGAATAATATTAAGTAATTGGGGCATTGGATTCTATTTACCCCCCAAATTATCCACATAAACTTCTGCAGAATTCTATCTTCAATTATGAGAAAAACAAGTATTATATAGTTTTTTTTTCAATTAACAAAATGAAACAAAATTAATTTGAGTAAACGAATTTGAAATCTCCGAAAGTTTGGTATGCATGAAGTGTAAGTAGTTTGGCTAAATGACTAGTTTCGTGAAATTGCAAATAATCATGGCTGCGTGATGAAATGGGTTTTGAAGTGACGAAAAAGAATATTCACCTCACTTCTTATATCACAATTTATATTGATTTTAATGCCTTTCATCGTAACGATACTTATGGCTAATTTTTTTTTTTTTTTTAGTTTGTATTAAGATACTTCGTGGTTATAGTCAGAAATTAAAATTTTCGATGCAGAGATACACTCAATAATCAAGCAGCGCTATATGTTAAAGACATATGTCCTGATATTTTAACACTATCAATACAGAAAATTATTAGAATCTTTGAAATATAGATTCTCAAACTTTTATATAACCTTTCTTTTGTAGTGAGATTTTTCTTTAGAGAAAAGAAAATCAAGATTTTACTCTCTCTACCTTTTACTCTCTTTTTTACTCTCAATCTTTTGTGATAACTAAAGTTTGAAAAAATATTTTCTTTTATCAAGAAACTTTATTTTATATTTGTAAATATTTATAATCTTTTAAAATTATTATCTCCATCAAATAACAATTATACTTAGAAACTATTCTATTTAATTCAATTATAATTTTATTCTTAATTCTTAATTATTTATTTGTTAATCTTTTAATAAACTACCTGACATGAGACTTTAAAACCTTATATAAAAAAACTCAATTATTTATTGACTATATTAGAATTTGTGTTATAACAAATAATTTGATGAATATAATGACAAATATAAGAGTGACTAAGACAACACCGGCATATTCATAATAGAAAGTTTTTTAAGAAAGTAACACTAAGATCGTTACTTCTCAAAAAATATAGTTTGAAACTGCATGTTGCTAATCCAAAACATAGGTAGATAGATAGCATTTTTATCTGCTAAAAGGTCTTTGAAGAATTTAGGCCACAACTGTCTTCACACAAGACATTGGATGCTACAAGACAAAAAGTAAAAAAACAAAGTCGGTACGCAAATTAATTTTCTTAACTATAATATGATTCTCATGTATAATTTGTGCTTAATTATAATTCATGTCGATGTGTATTTGTTGATGTCACATATGGCACTGTCTTTTTGTAAATAGAAATAAAACTTGACAATGTCAACAGTTTGGTTTGTGAAATTAAAGCTTCATTCTCTATATATCGTACGTAACAATTCTTTACTAAATTGCATATGATAGTAGTATCTTATTCACATGTGTTGGTATGTATCAATATCTATATGTATATATAAAAAAATCTATCTAACACGTAGGAGCAAGACTTCCTTAGAAGGGTACTGCAGTATAATATATATATATATATATATATATATATATATATATATTCATTATTTTGGCTTGTCGTTTATCATGTGGCCAAGTTGGGGGACCTTTGCTGAAAGTTCAAATGCTTGGAGAATGGAGATGCTCACTGTTGCTAACCACACCCACTTCGTGCACCAGACTCACATGCTGCTGCTATCTTTTCTTAAAATAAATAAAAATCCAACACAATATAAGGAGTTGCAACCACTCATCCATATTGTTTAATAGATTGAACTAAACTTTCTTAATTCACGTGCTGTTATGTGTTCTAATATATTACTTTTAATAATGTCTGGCGTGGTGGAAAGGTAGTATTTTTTAAAATTTTAAAATTGTTATTTTAATTTATAAAATATATAATTTTGAGTAATGATTACGAATAATTCACAAAATTTTTAAGTTTTGAAAAAATTCTTTATACCCCATTGATATTTGACAATAAAGAAAAAACTTAATAAGAGTAGTGAGATTTAATTAGTTGTACTATTCTTGCGAAAAATAAAACAAAACATGAATGGTTGAAACAATATTGACAAAATATTTTGAATGTTAATATTTTTCTTAAAACAATTAAAAAATAATGCTAAACTTTATATTTACAAAAAGAATCATTTTTTATACAGGTCAGACTAAACTTTTATTCAAAGAAATTTTTGAAATAACTAAAAATTTATAAGAAATGTTTTAATTCTAAAATTTCTAAATATAAAAATAACAATGAAGATAACAACATACATTTAATAAAATCGACAATAATTTATTAAAATGTACAATTAATATTAGATTCAGCGAAAATTATAAATTTAAATTGTAGAGACCGCTTGTCTGGTTGGATAGTATATGCTGTATTCGTTTCAGTACTATCAGAGGGGCACACGACATTGAGCAGAAACCTCGTGTTTTGCTTCATACAAGAAAATAACTGACAACTTCTTTCCTTTTAGTTGGGCTGTTCATCCACCGGCCCAGTTTGATAAATTCTACATTTTTTAGTGCCACGTATATTTTCTTTTTAATAATTTTTAATAGTTAACCTTACACGTGAAAAACACAATTAAGTTATGTGTTTGTCAGAAAACACAGAAAAATTATAATAAATTAAACTAAAATAATTTCTAGAATTTTTAAAACTATATATTTATTATTCCATATTTAATTATTTATATGAACTTTATAAATTTTAAATTTTATTTTTGATACAAAGTGAAAACTTGGAGCCATCCTGTGTTTTTACTTTTTATTTTATTTATTTATTAAGAAAATTTAAATAATATAAATTAATTTAAAATATTTAACATAATTTTTTTAAAATTGTAATAAATTTTTATTTTGATGAATAAAAATTAAAATCATTTAAATTACATATATATATATATATATATATATATATATATATATTAAAATCCCATATTTAATTTAAAAACTTATAAAGACACTAATTAACGCGGCGTACAATAATATTACTATGCGACAAATAATGAAAACATAAAGAACCTGCTATTCCTGGTCAGGACCACCTCGTGCTTAAATAAAAAAAACATTTATATATTTTATTCGATGTTTAATACTATTTAAAAATGGATATTAAATAATTTTATGTCCTTACGTAAAAAATGTAGAAAAAAAAAGGAATTACTATGGTACCCTAAAAAATAGAGGAGTTTTAATATATTTTTCTATGTAAATTTATAAAAGATTTAAAAAAAATTAATTTAATTATAAAATAAATAATCCAAATTATACTTATAAAATAAAAGTAAGATAAAATTATAGAGATTAAAATTATAAGATTTCAATAATATTATAAAATATTAAAAAAAATAGAAAATTAATAAATAGTAGAAATAAAAAGTTATTAAAATTACAATATAGAAATTCAAAAATTTAAGACAAAAAGACAAAAAATATACTTAAAAAATTATTAAAATTAAAATATAAAAATTCAAAAATTTTAAGTGAAAAGATAAAAATATACTTAAAAAATTATTAAAATTAAACTATTTAAATATATAATAATATTATTATAAATAAATTAGAATATATAAAATAAAAATAAAATAACTAAATAATTTAAAAATTAAAAGAATAAAATATTATAAATATTATTTAAATAAATTATTAAAAATATAAAATATAAAAAAACTGTACCAGTACCCTCTCAAATAAGATGGATACCATAGAATTTCTAAAAAAAAAAAAAAAAAAAAAATACCCATTTGTCTTCCATTAAATATAAATATTGTGTTTCAGGCTTTGGGTAAACTACCCCTTCCGCAGCCAAAATCCAAGTCCGAACATTGGCGGAGTTCACAACAAAACCCTTAAAACCCCACATCGAAATCGTGGTAAAGTTCAAATCTTCGGTACCACATTTCCAACAAGAAGGCGATGGTTTTGAAGTCAATGGTTGCTTCAGCGAGCGATCTAAGTGTGGTGAGTGTTGCAGGGAACCCTCCCCTCCATTTCAACAATCGGGTTTTCGGCGGTGGCCAAGTCACTAGCCTCGGTTTTCGTTTCAACAGAGAGAAATGGAAAGGAAACGAAAGGTTCAACTTGAAGGTTCGTGCAGCGGTGGAAGTGGGTGTGGAGGGGTCAAATAAGGGAGAGGCTTTGGAGGGTGCTTTTGGGTTGGACGTGGTTTCCGAGGGAGATTTAACGGTGAAGGGGTTTGCAGGGTTGAGGAAGACCAAGCTCGTTTGCACTATTGGCCCTGCTTGCAGCTCATTGGAGGATCTCGAGCACTTGGCCTTGGGAGGCATGAGCGTTGCCAGGCTCAACATGTGCCATGGCACTAGGGAGTGGCACCGTGACGTCATTAGGAAGATCAAGAAGCTGAATGAGGAGAAAGGGTTCTCTGTTTCTCTGATGATTGACACTGAGGGTAGTCAGGTTCATGTTGTTGATCATGGAGCTCCTTCCTCGGTTAAAGTAGAGGTAATGCCTTATGTTTCTGTTATTGTCGAAGTCTTGTGCTAGCTAGTCCTGTGTGATCACACTTATTGGAGTTAGCTGTAAGGGTGGGCTCACTTGGCTGTAGGCACCGGTAAGATCAAAACTTAGTGAGTTATCCATGTATTAACATCAATTAGTATGTTAGTTGGTTTAATCAGTTCAGTTAGGTAAAAAAGTTAAACACACAATTTAGTACTTTTGGTCCTGTATATAATAGCTTACTAAAATCTAAATTATGTTGCCGATTCTCAATTTTGTCCTGTATATAAAATCTTATTAAATCTTATATGTGAAAGCGTTGTTGGATTGGTCCTTGCCATCATGAAGCCGTATCTAACTGTTTATGCATTCTTAATTTGGTCCCGTTAATATTTAGACCAAATTAAGAATGCGCAATTCGTTTGAGATGACGGTGTCATGACGGCATGGATCAATACCATTAACATTTATACATATAGGGACCGGTTTAATAAGCTTTTATGTATTGGACCGTATTATTGGGACCAAATTAAGAATGTGCCACAGGCACAAGGGTCCAATTAAAAATGTATTACATATATAGGGACCATATTAAGGATAGGTTATGGGGTTAATGATCAACATAATACCATTAGAGATGGCGTCAAGACAACCAAATTAGTAACATTTGCTCTTATAGAGACTGGTTAAATAAGTTTTTACCTATAAGGACTAAATTGAGAATATGTGACACTGACAGGTATAGAGGCTAAACTGTGTTTTTAGCCAACAAAATTATGTTTAAATACCCATTGGGTCCCTTTAATTTCATAAACTGTACATTTTTATTCTTACAGTTAAAACATTCAATTTTTGTGCCTATATGTACCATTTTTGTTTCCTATTAGTCTCTGTCGTCTATTTGCTACAAAGACTAGAAGGTAACAAAAATATATAGGGACTTAAATTGAATGTTTTTAACTATAATGACTAAAAAGTAAAGTTCATAAAATTAAAGGGACCAAATGAATATTTAAACAAAAAATTAACAACCTGAAATAAATCATTTGGGTTCCATGCACCAAGACCTAATAACCAAACCAATCTCATAAAGTCTACAATTTTAAAATCTGAACCAATCCTAATTTTCTCCTTGGGTTTGGTTCTGGTGGTTCAGGTTGACCCAGACCCATGGTCACCCCTAGTTAGCTGAATTGGATTTGGAACCATGCACGATTGAAAGTTGTGTATTTTTTGTTTCAATCTCAGGAAGGTTCGATTTGGCAATTTACTGCTGAGCATTTTGAGGGTTCTCGCCCATTCACTGTTCAAACAAACAACAGAGGTTTTTCTGAAGGTGATAACGTTGTTTTACTAAATGAGTGAAGAGTCAACCTTTTTTTTTTTGTAATGTATTTATCTCTTGACAGCTTGATGTGTTATGCATTAGTGAATACTGAATTTAGTTAATGGTTGTCAGGTATTGAAGTGGGTGATGAACTTGTTATTGATGGTGGAATGGCATGCTTTGAAGTCACTGAAAAGACTGGTAATGATTTGCATTGTAAGTGCATAGATGCTGGTCTTTTCCTGCCTGGAGCGAAATTTAGTTTCTGGAGAGAGGGAAAGCTTGTAAGGGGGAAAAACAAGCTTCCTACTCTATCAACTAAGGTATACATATTGCAGCTTTTTCTTCCCCCAAGCTCATTTAATGGAGATCATGAATAATAAATTTAGAGTTTTGCAAGTACTTTATATAACTTAATTTCTGGAAGCATCCTCCTTAAGCAAAGTAGCTAACAATGCCAATTGTTGCCAGAAATAATGTTTGGTATTTTTTTTTTTAATTTATAAATATGATGAAATAACACAATGCCTCAAGAATTCATGCTCTTGTATTTGTCGATATATGGATGAATAGCTTAATATATTATTCCTTCCATAGTCCCATGTTTTGCTCCTTGGAACATTCAGAATCAGGAAGTTTGTCTGATGTTCCTTTAACTAACATAAATGCAATAAGTTTGTTAAATTCTCCTCAGACAAAGCTATATTTCTACAAGTTTCAGTGGCAGTGTAGTGAGCATACAGAGAAGCTACGTTCTTCAGAATTGAATTTATCGTATTCTCAATTTACTAAGACTGATAATGATTTTTTTTTCTTTTCTGCACGAACCTTTTTTTTCATATTCATTGAATAATATCAATGAATTGAGTATATTTCCCTTATATTTTTTCATTCTGAATTCATATTGTATTTATCCACAGGATTGGGCTGACATTGATTTTGGTATAGCTGAGGGAGTCGATTTTTTTGCCTTATCCTTTGTCAATCACGCTGATTCTGTAAAGGATCTAAAGAAGTACCTCTCTACGAAGTCAACCAAGTAAGGAAGCACAAGTTCACAAAAGAACCATTTATATGGTTTTTTAAGTTTTAACAATAGAATGTAATCTTTAACTCCTCTGAAAAGATGTTGGTATAATTTTTAGTTTCGGTTTTCAGCTTCCTCTCTGTCATTGTTGTCCGAGAATACTGATGTTAACCACATATTATATGATTGTTTCAGATCCATTAAAGTTTTGGCAAAGATAGAAAGTTTAGAATCCCTTCATAAACTAGAGGAAATAGTGCGAGCTTCTGATGGAATCATGGTGGCTCGAGGTGACCTAGGGGTCGAAATACCACTTGAACAGATTCCTACAGTCCAAGAGGATATAATTTACGTATGCAGACAACTAAACAAGCCAGTAATTGTTGCTTCTCAGCTCCTTGAGTCAATGGTTGAGTATCCAACACCAACACGCGCTGAGGTAAAATCAACTCATACATCCAGGATGATTATTATCAACTTGATTGAGAAGAAATGTTACTAGGAAACTACAACAGAATTCCCATCTATGATGACCTGGTTCCAGTTTCCTTATTGGATTGCTGAACTTACTTCTTACGAATATTTGCTTTTATGCAATAGGTAGCAGATGTTTCTGAGGCAGTTCGGCAGTATGCTGATGCTTTGATGTTGTCTGGTGAGTCTGCTATTGGATCATATGGACGCAAAGCTTTGGCAGTCTTGGATATGACTAGCAGTAGAATGGAATCATGGAGTCGGGAGGAAAACAGACAAAGTCTTCTCAACCACCATCAACTTGGAGCATCATTGCCCGAATGCATCACTGAGCAAATATGCAATTGTGCTGTTGATATGGGTACTTCTTGTTTTTCTTACAACTTGTGATTAATCATGGTTGAAACTTTTATTTTTAAGAGAGAAAAATAAAAAGAAAAAAATGAAATAAACTCTTCTATAAATTAAAATTAGCTTAAGCATAATTTAATTTGTAAAGGTCCTTTCTATTAGTTTTTCTATAATCTTATTTTTAACTTATACATTGATTTTAGCTTATAAATTTTTTTTATTTCAATTCATTTTTTTTTTCTAGAATAACTTCTAAAGAAATTTATATAAACAAGCATATATGAGTGATGCCATTATGAATTCTCTGCATAGTAGCAGGAGTGTAATCATAAAATTTACCAATTGGTGCAGCCAACAACCTTGGTGTGGATGCCATCTTTGTGTACACAAAGCATGGACACATGGCATCACTTCTATCGCGCAACCGCCCGAATCCTCCTATCTTTGCTTTCACCAATGATGAGAGTACTCGCATGGCTCTGAATTTGCAATGGGGTGTTGTACCCCTTCTTGTTGATTTGTCAGATGATGCTGAATCTAACATCTCAAAGTCTGTCCAACTTATGAAATCTAAAGGATTGATCAGCCAAGGGGATGTTGTTCTAGTTGTCTCAGATGTTGCTCCCACACGCTCCACTCCTACGGCTTTCCAGTCAATTCAGGTGAAGACTGTTATCTAAAACGCAAGGTTGCAAAAATTTGAATGACACGTGTCTCTGTATTTTCTAAGCTTGGGATAGGGCAAGTAATATTGTATTGTGGATTTCTTGTCCTTATGTAAAACAACAAAGTTTATAAATACTCATTTGTAGAACTCTAGCAAGTTCTGAAACCCATTTCAAAAGATGCTTGTGAATTACACTTCGTGAATTACCCATTATAAGTCACTGCTTCAGTTGCATTAATACTCCTTTTGATCTTTTTTTTATTTTTTTAATGACACTTCATTATCTAATTTTTTTGAATTAATTTAGTTGATAGTATTAAATTTGTCCCAAATTATATTTTATCCCAACATTATTCTTAATATAAATTTTTTTATCAACTACTTATTGAATTAAGAGAAATAATTTAATTTAATATTTTTAGATTTTATAAAAAAAAACAGATAATATTATTAATTTGTGTTTAATAAAAAGACCGTACGATTATATCGTAATTATACTTGATTTATCAACTTTGATTGATTACGATATGGAGTGGCTTGCCTTGAGCACCAACAAAGTACTACAGTAGCAAGCTTCTCAGAATCTCAGCTTACACGCAAATCTAATTCTCAGTTTCGTCTTTCCATGATATTCTTAGGAAAGGGGTTTCTCCTGGATATTGAATTTCATCGTGAATAAATAAATTTATAAATTTTACAAAATTTGAAAGCCACTTAAAGTAAATAAAAATAAAATAACATATATATATATATATATATATATATTATATACATACATATTTTAAATTGAAGTTTAATAATTTTTTTAAAATGTTAATAGTTAAAAAAATAACCTTTTGTTATAATTTAAACCGTTCATGTTAAAATATAGAATGTATTTTATATATTTAAAGATATCTTTACAATACAAATTTTAAATTACAATTTATACATTTAAAATTTAGTTTATTATAAACTTTATCTATAAAAAGTAAACATTATTATATGCAACTAACATATTAAAATAATATTATATTTTTAGAGTTAATTATTTATACACTATTAATATAAAAAAAAATTATATTAGTAATTAATTATATTTCTTATATTATTATAAATATATTTATTTTATTTTTAATAGTGATATGACATAATCAAGTGATATAATTGATTGAATGTAAAAATAACTTTACGTGATTAAGTCATATTCTATTCTTGGTAAAGTTGATAGACATGTTTGTACATTTTGCCCGAAAAAAGACAAAGTGCATAACATCAGAGTCGAAATAGTTTGCCATATTTTCGTGGAAGGAACAGAATGGTTGGATTTTGTGAGAATAAATAAATGTTGAAGAAAATCTATTTGCTAAACAAAAATCATGATTATTTTGTCTACGTTGTCAGCAGCCTCTGACCGCAAATCCACCACTTGTTAGTTCTTTCTAGCCACAAAAGCAGATCAACCCACGGCGCACATTAGCCACCGCCCTTGTCTCAGTCTAAACTGCGCTTCTCCAGCTGCTGCAGGCTCTGCACCACTTGCTCTAGAGACTAGAATAAGCCTTTTCAAATCCCTTTTCGTCCATTTGGGTCTCTCTCTTCCAAGTTTGGTGTCTTAGTTAGTTATGGCTTCTTTGAGACCTACCCTTTCTCAACTTTCCCTCTCCCAATCCAATTTTCCCAGAAAATATGCGTGGAACAATCACCTACCGTGCTATTTCAACAAAAGGATCGCAAAGTTGGAATCTTTCACCGCTTCCAATTCTTCCACGTTCAGGGTCTGCTGTAGTTCTCAAGAGAACAATAACCAAAAGAATGGCAAGTTTTTTTTTATTCTTATGAAATCTATATTTTCATGTCTCATTTAGTGGGAAGAATGATTGTTTCTTCGAAATTGTTAAAAAAAATATATATAGAATTATTGCTAAATTGAAATAATACAGAAGATTACTAAAATTTTCTAGCTCTGCTATGATGGGTATTTGTGATATTCACTATGTTTCCTTAGCAGAATACAAAAACATTTTCTTTTCTGTGTCTTCAACGTGTTCATTTGTGTTGGTTAGCAAGAAAAACTGTATTTTATTATGTTTTGGCAAGATAAGTAAGTAGATATTATGGCGGAGAGGTTCAGATTATAATTTACAAGTGATTAAACAGAAACATCAGGTGACTATCGTTGCCTTTTTGTGGCTTCATATTGCCTCTTTTGTGTTTTCAGGTGAAGAGCCTCCGGAGTCATTATTTATGAAGGAATTGAAGAGGAGAGGTATGACTCCTACATCATTGCTTGATGATTACAAACAAAGCAACTATGGACTTGATGAAGAGTTGTATTTGAATGAAGAAGATAGAGGTTTACCAAAAAGAAATGCTGTCTCAACCAATGTTGAGAGGAGTCTAGACAATCAGAGGGAACGATCTATGGCACTGAACAGTGAAGGTCTTGAGGTTGATTCATTGTCAACATCTTTTTCCTTGAATAATTTATAGACAATCGGTTATGTTGTTTCAAAGGTTTTGTTCCCGTAGTTTGTCTATGTTAATAGCTGGTGTTGATGAAAGAATACTAAGTCAAAGCTTTTTATTAACTAGAAACCAGAGAGTGAAGAATGGGGAGGACCAAGAAAGACCGGAGGGATGAATGTAAAGAAGTAGCCTTTTATTTTGCGGGCATTTTTTACTACTATAAGTTTTTGGTTTAGTAACTCAAATAATCGAACTTGATCTGGCTGTTATATTTTGAACTTCAAATATTAGCTGGAACACTTTTGGAACATCACATCTTTGTTCTGTTTGGAACTTAAAAAATTCAAATGGTTTTTGCGGAGAATCAGTAAGAAATTAAAATAATTTTTAAAATAAAGTTTGTATGTCACAAGTTTTCCAATAAATAACTCTACTTCCATAGTTTTTGGGGATACGATTTCTTAAGTTAAATTCTAACAATCATATATTCTTGTCACACCATAAATACTATGTATTTATCCATATATTCTTGGTCGAGAGAAAGAGTTGGAGTGTTTTAAATAATTTCAAAATAAAAGTATGTACTTTATCTGCTCTGTAGTAAATAATGATTATTGAATGACTTTAGAGAGTAATAAGCTGTTGAAGTTTTCATTTCTCCAACTCCATATAGAAATACAGCTAACATGCTTTTTATGAAGTTTTCATTTCTTTATCCCCATATAGAAATACAGCTTCCATGGTTTTTATGATGACTTATAGTAATTGCTTGAGACTAATGGGATCTCTGGAAGAGCTTATTTGGGCTTATGGAGGTGCCTTATAACTTTTTATCAGTTATTTTTAGATTATTTCAAAAAGCTTCATAAGGAAATTTATCAAAATAATATGTTTTTAGCTTATTCCTATAAGCTTCAGGATCAAGCTTATGAATAAACTCTAAATTAATAAGAGCTTATTGAATAACTGCTTAATTAAGTTGTTTACTCAAATACACCCTAAATTTGTGACAAGCTTGAAATGGGCATTGCATTAATAACTTAGAGAAAACAATAATAAGGTACTCTGTTGTAGTATGTATAACAGAATATGTATTAAGAAATTAAAATGAGGTCTATTGCATGCAAAGGCCTTCTGCTAGATCAGTGTAGATATTGGTGCACTTTCTTTTACATCTAATATTACTGCGCTGCCTAAAATATGAAGAGTTTTTTGGCTGATTGATATGAACATAAATCTATCCTATTCTGCAAAATAAATTGCCATTGAATAAGAACTGATAATATATATTATATTGATGAGAGCTTTGATGCTTAGGTAAAATGGAATTTCCTTTTTTGTGTGAAATCTGAAAAAATCAATATGTATTTATCCATTTCAGGGCTTGATACCTCGTGCTAAACTTCTTTTAACAATTGGAGGAACATTCTTCTTGGGATTTGGGCCATTGATCCTCATAATTGTTGCATCCTTTTCTGCTCTTTATTTGGTAAGCTGGCCTGACAACTGATGTGATGAATGCATCAATTTTTTATATATCCCTTCACTATACTCTTTGCATGTTAAGTAGTGCATGTTAGTATCTTGGTCATATTTGTGAGTACAGTTGTTTTTGTATATATATATATATATATATAATTGTTGGGAGCAGCCACTTCATTTCATACTGCCGAACCTTGTGATTTTTGCTACATCTTCTGATTATCCTGTGGTTTTATATTTAACATTAGCAACAAGGTTCAATACAGCATTTTTTTTTTTTTAATGATTTACACTTGAAGCCTCACTCTTGGATGGAGTCTCTTAGTGGATACATAAGAGTGATTGATGGCTTTGAATTTGATGGTTTGAAATGATTACTTTTGCAGTATTTTGGACCAGCTTTTGTCCATGATGCAAGCAAGATGGCTATATCACCTCCACAATATGTGGACCCTTACGCACTCCTAGAAGATGAAAGGATATCTCAGATAGCACCTCGCCTAAACTAAAGGCAACACTATACATACTTACCTCTTAGGAATCTAGTTGCATATATCAAATTTCTGTTTACTTTGTCTTTGTTGATTTAGTTCCATTGTAAAATATCGTTCCCAATGAACTTGTTATCTGTTTTGCGTTCATCATTGACTCAATTCTTTATATCCGCCTTTTGCGTTTTGCATAGGTGCTACGTATAATTTAAATCTAAAAGAAAGCTCCATCAGAAGAAGCATTGCTTGTGATACTTTATTTTCCTGTTACAAGTTTAATGGCTCTCCTCTAGACAAATTTGCTGATGAAATGAAGGTTTTATACTTTTTGGAACATTAATTAAAAATTCAAATGTTAAAAAGAAAGAAGGGACCATTAAATGGTGATATGTTGATTTGGTTACAGTATAAAAAATCATATAGCTGTTATTACAAAGGAATTTATGTAAATACGTATATATTATTTGAACAAAGAAACTCAAGAAGTATCATACCTCAGTTTGTGCGCAATGACGGAAAGGTGGATTGTTTGGATTTTTTAAAGTAAAAGGCTTTTTAAATATTGAAGGAGCACTATCATTTAGTACCAAAAAATTTTCGTACTAAACAACATAGACACTTGTCTATATTATAGCTGATGAATAATATGTTAAAGAATAAAGTAAAATATACTATTTTTGTCGCGAAATTTTCGTCCTACATAGTAGTGATTATCGGAGAAAAAAATATCTTCTAAGAAACAGACAAACATTTATAAAAAGAGTTGAGCTAATGATTTTTTTACTCTCTAAAAAGTTTAAAATTTGATTTTTATCTAACTTCAAAACATGAACTTAACCCCTTTTTTTGAAATATCCAAATACTAGGCTTGTAGGGGGGAAACATTATCTTTAGGGACTAAAATTTGTATATTTTAAAAAACAGACAAAAGCTATAAAAGTTATAAACAAAAACTAAAATTTGAATATTTTTGAAAACTAAAAATCAATTAATTCATTATAATGAAAACAATATATCATAAAAATACTTGAACAAAAATTTATCCAGACAACCGATCAATAATGACCACCCATTCACCGAAACAATATTACTAAAACAATGTTCATCCCATAATTCACTATGAGCAGCCTAGTAATAACGGGCTTTAGACTTTAGATAGTTTACATGGATAGCTAATTTAAAGCATGATTATCGTCATTATAAAACAATTGTCCATCCCAAGAGCTAATTAACGACACATACATAGGATTTAGTTGAAGGGGTCATAGGTTTTAAGGTCTGTAATGATTCCTTCAATTGATCCAGCTGCAGCAACAAGAGTGACAATCAAACAGAAGCCACTAAGCAATTTGACCCCAATCCAAATGACAGAAAACTTGGGCACTTTGGCCCGCACTAGGTACATCTCAGTTGGAAAGTACACTGTCAAGGGCCAAAAGGAAACAGCCCCAAGCAAACCCACAATGCTGTTGAAGAAGGGCAATAGGATAGCAACGACAGAGGTGAGTATCACATACAGTGTCCTCCATATCACCCTGAACGCATTCACTCTGTATGTGCCAACCAATGGAATCCTCACATGATATTCTTTTGCCATGAAGTTGCTTTCAGGCCAACGCTTCGCACACCAACCTTCCACAAGCGTAAAAATTGGCTGTGAAAATACCTGCACACAAAAACAATCAAATTTGTAAATTAATTGTTAGGATATCCTAGTTGAGTAATGCTAACAAGTAACATGTATGGAATATAAATAAAGTCTTACATCAATAAAACAAGAGAATAAATAAGAATTTATAAAATATACATATACTTTAATACTTGTGTGGGAAATAACTTAATAAAAATAATAAGACATAACCTTCTCTAAATATAAATATATTCTTTCAAGTAAATATGAAAAAATAATCCTACCAGACCTACAAGTTGACATGTTAGATTAAGTGACAACCAATAAATTATAACAAAAAGTGATAAGTGATAAAATGATATACAAAGATTATACTGAAAAAGATATTAATGAAATACAAAAATAAATTCTATTGAATGAGAAGTTATGTTCCTTGTTTGAAAGAAAAATTGTTGGGATATTAATAATGTCTTAGGTCGATAAAATATGAGAAAAAATAAGAATTTATAAAATACATACATACTTCAATAGTTGAGAAATTATGTATGAAATAACCCAATAAAAATAACAAGACATAACATCATTTTAATATAAATACATTATTTCAAATAAATGCCGACAAAATTATCCTAAAACAACACTCACTCTATAACTCTCTCAACTATTAATTAAAAATTTTAGTGTTTTATTACTTAGTATAAAAGCTTCGTTAAATAAAATACGAATCTCACAAATAAATTTCAACCGATAAAAAAAAAAGTGTGAAAAAAGAAAATGTTGATATCATTCCTTTAATTGGTGAATGATAATTAGAATGATGAAATTAATATAAACATAATGTTGACTTAGCAACTTTACCTGGTAGGCGCCAACTAAATGAATAACTATGAAGACATTGCCAATGTCAACAAGCCAATATGGTTCATAAAAACCAAATCCTGTTAAGAAGTTTCCGGGTGCCTTGTTCCCAAATGCTTCATAGCCTAGAAGGCCACATAACATATAGAACAATGTGGTGATTGAGATTCCAGTGGCGGTTGCCTTCTTCATGGCTTGATTTTCTGGAGGGCTTGATTTTAATGTGTCCTGTTGAAGAAAAATAATAATTTATGATTATGACTATGTGATGAGAAGAAGCTAGCTCACAAAAGTGGAATAATATAATATTGGGTAAGATAGATAACTTGCCTGTATCTCAACGATTACCATACTGAAGCCATATGCAAAAGCTATGTTTCCAATGGCTTGGAAAGTGTTCCATAGCTTCTGCTGGCTTGTCACGTCTTCTCCAACGATCACCCCTGTAAGACTTGTCGCATGGTTTCCTCCCTCTATGATCCAATATGCATGGATTAGTTTTATGTTATTTAATTATTTATGCATCACATAACAAAGCCATGCTTATTAACTCGTTATATATAGTCACGTACACAATGTTATTACTCGACACATTTATCATATAAAAGATATGACAAAAGTTTTAGTAAGTAATATTCATCATCATCAGCGCATTTTAGGGGTGAATTGAGATTGAAATAGGAGAGATACAGAAAAAAATGTAGAGAGAGAAAGTGATAGTTAATGTGATGAAAAAATAAGAGAGAGAAGAAGAAGAAAATTCGGGTGAAGGTGAGTTGAAAGAAAAACATTATGTATGATTATAATTTTTCTTTTAAATAATATAAAATAAAATGTAGTTATAATATATTACCTCCGATTCTAATTATAAATAACATTAGATAAACTGTTAAGGTCAAGAAAAATAATTAAGTTAATTTTTTTAATTAATTCTTTCATAAATTTTAATTTAATTTCATCTTTAAGTGGTTGTTATACTTAATGTCAATTATAAATGAGTGTATAAGAATTGAATTAGTAACTAATTAAGAGTATAAAAAAATTAATCTTGAATAAATTTAAAAACTAATAAGTGTTGCTTATATAATTAAGAAAGAAAATTAATTCATTAATTATAATAAATAACATAGATAGTAACATTTAAAACTAATTCAATTTTAATGTTAAATAAAATTCATAAAACAAAAGAAATAATTCATAATTTAGAAGCGAGCAGAGCACGAATCATTACAAACATTAAAAATTATTTAATTATTATAAAATTTTAATTTAGTTTCATTATTCTTTTAGCTCAATAATTTCATAAACTTTACATTTTAATTCTTAATTAAAAGAATATATATATATAATAAAATATAATATTTTTAATTACAATAACTAAATATATATATATATATATATATATATATGGCTATGAATATAAAAAATATATATGCATTTTTATTGTTTGAAAAGATAATTAATATATATATATATATGGCTATGAATATAAAAAAAAATAAAAATAGAAACATTTTTTTATTGTTTGACATGAATATGCATTCTAACATGGCAACACTACTATTTATAAGATTTTTTTTTTCTCGCAAAAATGTTTGAAACAAATTAATTACTCGTAAAAAAACAAATTAATACTTTTTTGACTTAATTATAAGAAATGTAAGTCTACTTTAAGATATAATATTAATTATTAAATTTTTGTATATCTTTTATTTTAATTAAATAAATGGATGTATTTATTTTCTATTGATAACACTAGTTACATTATTGAAAAATAATAGAGAGAAACAATACTTATAGAACAAATCGTAGAATATCAATGTGTTTACCATTTATTGATAATAAAAAATTGAAACATAATATTATTGTATGTAATAAAAAATAGTATCTGAAAGGGAAACCTGCAATTTTAGCAATGGATAGACCAACGCCAATGGTAGCATAACCGAAAGACATGATGGCAGCAAGAATAGAGAGGCCGGAAAGTTCATGGAAATCAGGGATTTGGCTTATCAAAATCTCAACAACTGCAAAGATTATCATAAATGGGTAATTTGCTGCATGACACTTGGCTTCGTGCCCATGTTTGTGAAAGCAATTCGATCTTTTGATGGCTCTGCTTATTAACAATTTGGAGTATTAGAATATATATAAATGATGATACCACTTGCATAAACATACTATAATGTTAGTTAGGTTCTTACACCATGCTAATGGATGCAGTGATGGTGTATCCAATGCTTGTTCCAAAAAGAATTATGTACTGAGCCCATCCACAAAGCTGGCATTGAATTCCTCCTGGAGAACAATACTCATACATCTTAAATGGATCATATCACTCAAATTTTGTATTTTAAACTTAAGAAATTAAGTACTTTATTTTTAAATATAAAATTATAAATATAATTTTTCTTATTTTTAATATTTTATATTTGTATTATACACGTTTCTCAAGTCTTGTTTTGATAACCGTAAAAAAAATGTCTTGTTTTCTTTTTTTATGGGCATGACATGATTCATGAAAAACAAAGTTCTTGTTTTGATAAACGTTTCTATAAATAATTAAAAAATAAATGATTTTTTTTTTTAAATTAAAATTAACTTATGTATGTCAAGTTTTCTTTTTTTTTTTTTGGATGGAATAATCTGCGAAGTATTTTAAAATTAATAACTAAAGATTAATCTATAATCGGGAAATGTGATTTGTGATACTTAATATATATCAAATTTAAAATAGTTTAAACTTATTAATTTGTTTAATTTTTTTGATAAACTTTATGAAAAAATTATTTAAATAGAACCCTATATTTATCAACAAATTATTAGTATGAGTGAAACTAGTTTTTGTAAGATTTGATTTTTGAACATGAAAAATTAAAAAGATAGCCATTAACAAAGTATTTTTCACACTGCTAACATAGTTGAAAAAATAGAATTATATTCATTTATTTAGACCTTGGAACCGCGTAAATTTATTTTCTTCTTGGTCAAAACACCAGTCAGTTACAAAACATGAATTTAATAGACCCAAATTAAAACAATTACATAATATTTATAAAAATCATTAATAAAGACATTAATTTTTTTGTTAATTTATTAATTTTATTTTGAAACATTGTTAGAAGATATTATTAAAAAAATTATGTGTATGTTTGTTTATAATTTTTTTTATAAAAGCTCTTTTTTAATAAAAATAAACATGTTTTTACTTTTTGATATGCTTCTCTAAACTTTTTTTTTAAATAAGCACTTTTATGTTTTTTTTAAGAAACAATTTCTATCTACTTCTTAAAATTTATTTTTTTTAAAAAAAAATACTTATTTAAAAACGCTTTTATTTTATGTTTAAACAAACGGAACTTATGTTGGTCGCTTGTTCTCAGTAGAGGAAATTAGTCTCTCACTTTGAATGGAGGGAAATAAGAAAAAAAAAATTGAAAGACATATGCGTTGAGAAATGAGAATCTGAATACCTAAAACATTTTTGACCATCTCCATATAGCGGGGGTTTCTGGATCCATGAACAGGGTCAGGGTACCTATAGCAATCGCTGAGCATAAAGGAGGTGACGAGAGTAATGGCTGAGAACACTGTCAGAATTGTGGGCCCTACAATCCAGCCCAACTGAGCAACGGCCCATGCGAGCGAAAGCACCCCAGACCCAATAACAGCCGTCACTATGTGCGCACTCGCGGTTACCCATGTTCCTTCATGCCCATACATACATACATACACAAAAATTAAATGACATACATGAATAATCTGTGAAACAAATTAATTTATCCATAGACATGAACATGATGCATTACCTGTTCGTTTCACGTGACCATCATCATCATATTTAGAGCTAAACACATCATTTCCTGGAGACTCTATGGAAAAGTTTCTGGCACCTTGAAATTCCATGGCCGTTTCTTCTGTCACCTTAAAATTCTCGCTACTTTTCCTAAGTTATTTGCTTATACCACAACCTTTGCCTTATCTTATAATGTAACACTCATGAATGAACAAGGAAACCCAACCCAATTTGGTATTTATTTCTGGTCCTCTTAAGAAGTAAAGGCACTATCATAGGAGTATTAATTAAATATGAGGCTGGCTAAAACGCTCTCGTTTCGACCCGACTAATTTTAATGTCCCACATTAAGTTTTTTGAAAAATATAATTATGTTTCAAAAATATTGTTTCATCACCTTATCTTAGAACATTTAATAATTTCTCTGAATCAAGACATTAATTTTTATAAAGGCATTACTTTTTCTTATAACGGGATATCTACTAACCACCGACCTTTCAAATTTCAGCCGTCCATCAGTTATTGCATCACAGTTAAAAAGAGAGAGAGGGTGCATGTGGTCAACTTACATATTTACTAGAGAATTTTGTTATGGAGAAAAAATATTTTTTTTGAGTTGTAAGAGTTAATTAATCAAAAATGTCAAAATAAATAATTAAATTATATTTTAATCACTTAAATTTAAAAAAAATATATTAACTATTCATATATTATTTTTTATATAAATGAATAATTTTCATTTATAAATTAAATAATATTATATAGACATTAATATTAGCGAAACTAAATGATAATAGTTTTTTTTATTAAATTATTCAAGATTTTATTTTTTTATTTTTAATATGAAATATACTATATTAAAAGGAAACACTTGTATGCACTTATTTCGATAAATATTAATTATTACTTTTAATTATAGATATTTTATATTAATATTATGATTAAAAAAATAAAAGATATTTTGACACATTATTTTTTTTTTGAATTTTTTGTCTAATTATTTTCTTTTTATTAACAGAAAAATATTTGAAATCATAAAATTTAATAAGTCTTATATCTTATTTAATGAATATCTATTGTGAGTTTGTTGTATTAAATAAATTTAACAAATAATAGAAAGTGTTAAAAAGATTATCTTGTTACTACTCTTTTTAAAAATCAATTATTATATATTAAATATAAATTTATATCTTATATGAGAGTGTTTATAAAAAAATTTCCTTAATAAAAGTGTTTCAAAAAATTTCTTTTGATTTCTAATCAAATTCAATTTTATTTATCATATTTGTCTATAAATTAAATTTCAACTAATTGTTTAACTTGTATAATACACACGTTTACTATATAATTAAATTTTATAATAAATTTTACTTTTTAAATATATATATATATATATATTTTTTAAGTTTATAATAAATAATTTATATTGTAAAAAATAAATATTTATTATTAATTTATTTAAAATATTTATATTTAATTTATAAATAATTATGATAAATAAAAATTAAATTATATAAAAAAATTAAAAAATTCCTACAAACTCTCTTTAACAAAAATTCATAAAAATACTCTCGCATTCGATTCGTCCTAGTTTCCAGATGACATACCAAGGTCTTATATTCCAAATGCTTATTCACTTATGTCATTAATTAAAATGATACTCAACCGACCTGTTTGATCTTCATCCAGAGAGTTTATTATATTGCGGATCTCCACTCTATCAAAATCATAGGCTCAAGAAGATGGATAACGTATTAGCAAGAGGAGTATAAAAAGATGGATCTCCACTCTTCAACCGACCTGTTTGATCTCCAATTTTTTATCTGACAAGATTGTAACCACCCCTAAAGTCAGCTATGTAAGGGTCTGGAAGGTTACAAAGTCCATGATGAGAGACCCTAATCCGAAGAAAAATGGGTATAAAAAGAGAGATCAAGAAGAAACACCAGAAATCTAGTGAATGCTTCATTGATATGCATTATAGCTTATTATTAGAACAAATATATAAGAATTAATATTTTTTAAAGTAAATTTGACAAGATAGATTTTTAGATTTTTTTATCTTCTTATCTAATTTAATTTCTATTTATCATATTTATTTATAAAATAATTTAATAAATTTAAAATACAATTATTAATAAATACAAAAAATTTATTATAACAAATTATTTATTACAGATCTAAATTATAATTTATATATTTAAAAATACTTATTATGTAACTCTTAAAAATGCTAAAATATAATATAAATATAGAATTCGAAATATTTCTTTAAATAATTAATTTTCTGAAAAGGAATAAGGTAAGTTTTTCAAGATATTTGAATATTTATAAAATTATGCATTATTTTCTTTAATGAAACAATAGTAAAAAAATTCAAATTCAAAATTAATATAAAATACTATTTGGTTTAATATGTTAAAAAATCTGAAAAATTAATTCTGTTATTACTTAAAAGATTTAATTCATAAACTTTATTATAGTATACATTTAATATTGATTTTATATAACAAAAAATTATAAATTGTGAAATACTGATTTAAGGTAAACCTTGCAAAATCCATCATAAAATCTTTGGAAAACAACTCTATTAAAAAAACAATGGGTAGAGGATTCCAAGTGATTCTTATTGCACGTTTTTTGCTCGGACTAATTAATTGTGATTTCGCTTTAATTTTTTTTTTTTTTAAAGTGCATGCGTAAAGATAGAGCAAAAGATTCTCTTCATTTCTTTTGTTTTTTCTTGTATTATAAAGCTTTTGAAAATTAAGTTTTTTTTATATATATAAAACATGTATTAACTTCATTTAAAATATTTTTCTAAAATCTTAAGATGGAAAATAATTAGAGGAAGAAAAAAATTAACTACACTTTTTGTTTCCATTGCATATTAGATCCTCCAAACATTATAATTATATAACTTTAAATTTTTGTCATGTTTAAAAATATAACAGTTTTGTTGTCGAAACACTTTGTGTTTAAATAAAAAAAATATGAAAAAAAAATAAGAAAATAAATAGAATTTTAAGTTGTTTTGATGAAAAAAAATAAGAGATAAAAATAATAGAAATTTTCTTATAACTTATTTGGTTAAATAGAAAAGTGAAGAGAAAGAAAATAATTTTAATTTGTAAAGACATATTATAGTAAGCATCCAAATAAAAAAGAAAGTTATATAATTTTGAAGTACTAGGAACATACATTAAACATATCGTTTTTCTACAAGTTACCACATTTATCTTTCAAAAAATTTCACAACTGTTCATTCATAAAGGACGGCATGAGTGGGATGATATTGGATAATAGTAGGATTAGTAAAGCAATTGATAAGATTAGTTTTGTAATTTTAAAATCACTCTCTTCTTTTCTCAAAATTCATATGTGCATGGTATCATTTCTTTGGCTATATATATAATTATATATTCTATTAGTCGAAAAAATTTATTTTAATATTTCATTCCTTTTGTTCACATTTGAGCATAATGTACGATTGTATTGTAGTTGCTATTTTTCTTTATTTTATTATCTGATATCTTATGTCTCATATTTTATATTTTTAAATTGATCTATAATTTTTTTTTGTTTTTTTATATAAGACCTTTTTTTGTGAATATCAAGAGTACTAAATCTATGTTGTAAAAGTTAAAATATAAGTATGTAATCTAACAAGTGATGGTATGTATAATATTTGGTTATGTATTTAGATTTATTATCATCTTTTCTAAAATAATAATAAAAAATTATAAATTTATTCTTTGATGACTCGATAAAAATTTTAAAAAAAAAATTATCAATTTCAAATATTTTTTACTGATGATTCTTATTTTTATTGAACCAAAAATTAAAAGAAATGATTCAATTCAATCCATTGCAAGTTAATAAAGAAACAAAATACATTAAGATCAACAACAAAATGAAAAAAAACAAAAAAAACAACAATGAAAATGTAACAAACTTTTTAACTACGAAAATATAATGTTACATTTTGAAAATAATTTAAGAAAATGTTACATTATCTAAATTAACATCAAATATGAAAAATATTTCTTTTTAGTTATAATGAAATATAAAGACTAACTATCATTTTCAAAACATCTTTAAACCTTTTTTTTATAGCATTATCTTAAAAAAAAAAATTAAAGACTGATTTTTGAAAATTTAATTATTAATCAAGACATTTTGTTTTTGGAGAAATTTAAGAAAAAAATTTCATAATTTCATATCTAAATTTAATTAAATAAAATAAATATTTCTCCTTCATAATAGTGAATATATAATGTTACTAAAATTTTATATTATCTTTAAATATTTTTAAGGATCAACTTCTTAAAATTTAATTAATGATTAAGATGATTGTCAAAGAAAATAATATTATTTTGTATCTGCACAAAATAATATTTAAAATTAAATGATACTTATATTCATATTTATTTAAAAAATTTATATAACAATACAATGATGCCATACTAATACTATAAAAAAATAGTAAAAGCGCTCTAGCAAGTGCTACACATAAAATTACAATAAAGTTTTGAATTAATTACATTAACTTTATTTTTTAAAAAATACGCAATTGTTGTATTGTTTAATAAAAAATACCAAATTTAATTTGTGTTAGTAAAATTAAATTAACTTTAAATTATAATATTATTTATAAAGATTATAATATTATTTTAATCATAATTTTTAAACATATCCAATATAAATATATCATCTTAGAACACCTCTAACGGGGTGCTTAGATGTGTCCTAAAAATAAGCAACAGAGTTTACAAGAATTTGTTATTGGAGTGATTCTACGTGGAAAGAAAAGTTTTAATTTTTTTAGCTTCGTTACTTTAGCAAGAAATGGTACTTAGCACTATGAAATTTCAAATAGAGAGTTGTGATTGGTTCATCTGGATCCAAGGTGAAACGTGCACACAAGGCGTCGTCGCGGAGCTCCACTCGCACAAACACTGCTCACCTTCGACGAAGGGACGCGCTCGCCGCCAACCTCGCGCCGATCAGATCCACCGCCCCCAAACCGTCTCGTCGTCTCCCCCAACTTGCCATCAAAATGTAAAGCAAGTCCTCGGTGTGACGCTGTTAACATCGCGGAGGAGATTGACGGATAGCGGCGCGGGGCCTTTGCAGTGTAGCATGTAGGCGAAAGCGTGTTGCACAGAGTGGTGCGTTGCGATGGCGGGATTGACACGTGAGAGCCACGTGTAGACCTTGATCGCGTGGGAGGGGTTATGTTGGTGGTGGAAGATGGTTACGGCAGAGCGATGGGTGAGGTTTGGGGGGAGGTGGTGGTTGAGGAGGAGGGCCCAAACCATCCACTCCGTGTGGCCGTCCGTTGAGATAGAAAGAGGGATGAGAGAGAATGAGCAAAAGAAAAGTGAGACATCGAGAAAAAGAGATGTTGAGAGACATCCGAAAAATAAAGGAAAAGAGAGAGAGAGACGTTGCAAAAGTAGCAGTTGAGAGACGTTGGAAGAAAATTGAACATTGAATGGTGTCGGTGTGTATAAATTGACGTTCAATATTCACTATTCACTTCAAATTCGCTGTTCACGTTCACTATTCACTTTAAAAAAATTTACTCTTTACGATAACTGTTCACTTCAAAAAAAATTCTCCTTCCTTTTTTATTGTTACTCATCTGTAAATTATTTTTGTGTTATAACACATGAATCCCAATTAATATAATTTTCAAAGTTATTTTAATTATTTACAAAATTAAGCACCACCTCCACCTCCACTCAGAAAAAGATATCATGGCAAATGCATATAAAATTTACTTACAAGATGTAGGTGATAAATTCAATTTTGAGCATGCATGTTATTAAGAGATGATCCAAAATGGAAATCTAAATCAATGGAGAGCTCGTCTAAAAGATCAAAGATCTCTAAATCTGGACAATACTCAATGTCTTCTAACACAGATGCAGCCAGTGATTGTCAAGAATATGATCCAACAACATCAATGTCTCGTCCAATAGGTCGAAAAGCAACTAAAAGAAAGAGTAAAACAAAGGTTGACAAAATATCTTCCGACAAAAAGGAGTTGGGTAATATATATGACAAAAGCAATAATGTTAGAAAGAAGTACTACAATATAGAAATTGGTTGAAGCGAAGGAGGCGGCTAACTTTAGTGCAATGTATGACATTCTCATGAAAGACACATCTAGAATGACTAAGAAGCAACTCGAATCATAAATTGGCTTGAAATTTTATTAGGCACAAATTAAGATAATAAATATTATTGTAATTTTAATTATTGTAAATTAGTACGTTTTTAATTTTTTATATTTAATTTTGTTGTTATTTTTTGTAATTCTTTTTATTATGTAGTTCTTTTTATTATATAATTTCTTTTTATTATTGTAATTTTTTTATCATGTAATTTCTTTTATTTGTTATTTATATTTATATATTATCTATAATAATTAATTTTTAAAAATTTATTATAAAGTGTAGTATGGATTGTCAAAAAATTAGTATGAATTGTAAAAAAATAAAAGTATTTATAAACAATTTCTATTAAAACAAAAATTATAAAAATATAATGAATATTACTTATAAACAAGTCTCGCAGATGCTCTTATATAACAATTATCATAAAAAATTAAATATTATATTACACAACTTATCAAAAATAATTTATTCATGACATGGTAATTATTTAGTTTAAATAAAAAAAGAAAAGCTTATTAATTAGTATGACAAAGATAATATTTAAATTTAACTAAACAATACCAAACAGTGAAAACACGATAAATTATTTATTTTTAATTTAAACTGCTTTTTTTAATAATTATAATTACTTAAAACAATATGACAATATTTTACATATTACTATAAATTACTGGCAATATCACTCTTTTAGCGAAACCTCACCATAATTGAATCCAACGTTGAATATTGATTTACCGAAATTATCAGCTTTAACACAATTAAAACAATCGATAAAAGCAATATAAAGATATATTGCCAATAAATTTAGGTCTGTAACAAAAACAGCGAAGCATAAAAGCAATGCATCCAAAGTAACAAACCACAATGGCACATGGCCATCTAAACACGATACACACAACAACAGAGAACGGGCCACAGATAGATTCTAGTATTCCTCCAAGTCATCATCCCCACCCTCACCAGACTCGGCACCCACTTCTTCATAATCTTTCTCTAGAGCGGCAAGATCCTCACGAGCCTCGGAAAACTCACCTTCTTCCATACCCTCACCCACGTACCAGTGGACAAAGGCACGCTTGGAATACATGAGATCAAACTTGTGATCAATGCGGCCAAACACCTCAGCAACACTGGTGGAGTTGGAAATCATGCAAACTGCCCTCTGCACCTTCGCAAGGTCACCTCCAGGAACAACGGTAGGTGGCTGGTAGTTAATACCACACTTGAAACCAGTAGGGCACCAATCCACAAACTGAATGGTCCTCTTGGTCTTTATGGTTGCGACAGCAGCATTCACATCTTTGGGCACAACATCACCGCGGTACATCAGGCAGCAGGCCATGTACTTTCCATGGCGAGGATCACACTTAGCCATCATGGACGATGGCTCAAAAGCACTGTTGGTAATTTCAGCCACTGAAAGCTGTTCATGGTAGGCCTTCTCAGCAGAGATAACCGGGGCATATGAGGAAAGCATGAAATGGATTCTAGGATATGGGACCAAGTTGGTCTGAAATTCAGTCACATCCACATTCAGGGCACCATCGAACCTCAGGGAGGCAGTCAAAGACGAAATCACCTGAACCGCGGAGAATGAAACGACAATTAATCCACCGAACCAAATCATTAGTTGCACATAAACAAAGTAGCTAACCTAAAGAAAACTACCTGAGAGACAAGACGGTTGAGATTGGTGTAGGTGGGACGCTCAATGTCAAGAGAGCGCCTGCAGATGTCATAAATGGCTTCATTGTCCAAAAGCACAGCAACATCAGTGTGCTCCAAGAGAGAGTGGGTGGAGAGGACACTGTTGTATGGCTCAACGACAGAGGTGGACACCTGAGGAGAGGGATAGACGGTGAAACCTAGCTTTGACTTTTTGCCATAATCAACAGAGAGACGCTCCAACAGAAGAGAACCAAGTCCAGAACCAGTTCCTCCTCCAACGGCATTGAAGACCAAGAACCCTTGGAGACCAGTGCAGTTGTCAGCTAGCTTTCTGATGCGGTCCAAGCACAGATCAACGATCTCTTTCCCAACTGCAAAAGCAACAAACACAGCATCAGGACCCACGCAAAGCATATACGAAATTATACAAAGCAAAGCAATATATATAATGTAATGTGACTTACTGGTGTAATGACCACGGGCAAAGTTGTTGGCTGCATCTTCTTTGCCACTGATGAGCTGCTCTGGGTGGAAAAGCTGGCGGTAGGTTCCAGTCCTCACTTCATCGATGACAGTAGGTTCAAGATCTACAAAGACAGCACGTGGCACGTGCTTTCCAGCACCGGTCTCGCTGAAGAAAGTGTTGAAAGCGTCATCACCGCCTCCAACTGTCTTGTCACTTGGCATTTGTCCATCAGGCTGCGTACAAATTATAAATATCAACATTCCATACAATCTTTAAAAATCGCATTTAAAAAACTACCACGTAGTGAGATTTACATGCCTCAAAATTACAAGATGAAGTAGAAGTGTGCTAATAATACATAGTTATTCATAACAATGCTTAACATCACATAAATTTAACAGTTATATCTAATATCTAACTAAAAAGACATTATATCTAATATCTAACTGCTAAACAGAACAATCTACTCAAAATCATCGCAAGCTTCACATACATACCATAACATCGAAATCGATACCACATTTTTTAGTTGAAAATAACATGCATAAACCGGCCATACAACAAAATTCACAGATCTGTAAACGTCTTCCAGAATGCAATAACTAAACAACACAGATCTGGTACAATAAACGGAACATTATAAAAATTCAAAACACGAGAAAGCAATAATAAAACAAAACAGATCTGGAAAACTAAAGGGATTAATATCAGGCTTCAGACACAATATCTATAAGTTTGAATTACATCGAAGAGAAAATCAATAAACAGATCAAACTACAAAAATAACGTTCAGATTTCTTTAGATCTGAGAAATGAAACAAACATCAACAACGAAAACGCACGAAACAAGGCCTCATGTGACAGATCTGAATGAAAATGAATAAAATGAAGCGAAATAAGATTCAGATCGGAGACTTACGCCGATGCCGTGCTCGAGACAGTAGAGCTCCCAGCAAGCATTTCCGACCTGGATACCGGCCTGACCAATGTGGATTGAGATGCACTCTCTCATTTTCGCAGAAAGAAAGGTTAAAGCGAATTTGAACGATGAAAGGGAAGGAGAGAGAGAACGAAAATTTAAAAGAAAGGCGTTTATGAAGACGCCTTCTTAGAAATCTGGATGTGAGGAGAGTTTGCAGGGTTGGGATACTTTTTATAGGGAGATATATGAGGTTGCTGTGCTGTCGTTTTCTTTAACCATGGTTGGTTCACGGTGCGTCAGGAATAGTTGAGCTGTCTGTATCTAATGTAACCCAACTTGGTAACCACGGTTACTTTTCTTTTTCGAAATTTAAAATATTTTTTGCCGCCCGAGGCCCGTCCAAACTGCCGTTTTCTGATTTTCAAAATGGCCAACATGGCAAAAGAGAACAACGGTAAGTTTAGTTATTAAAAATAAATAAAATAAATAAAACATTTTTAATTTATAATCAAAATGAAGAACAAGTTATTTTTTTTACATTACTCACAAATCACAAATAGTCACAAATGCTCATTTACGCTGTATTTGATCAAAAGAAAAAAAAAAAAGATAATCAATGTTAAAAAAAAGTATAAAAAAGATAAATAAATACATTAGAAATTTGAGAAGTTCTAACATAAAACATTTATAACCATCAAATTTTTTAATCAATTTAAAGTATGAAGTTAAGTGGTATTCATATGTATCATTATTTATAACCATTACATATAATCATTAATTATATATATATATATATATATATATAATATGATCGAGATGTATTTTATTTATATATTTATATATATATTTTTTAATTGAATTGACATTTTTATTCTTGTTTAAAAAAAGCACCAAATTAGTTCTTAAAAATAAGCAACACATAAATCTTGTAAAATAAGGTTACAACATTGAGTGATAAAACTTACATTGCATAATAAAATAAATATAGTTTGGAAAACTTGCTCAATACTCGAATGACATTCTAAGGGTCAAGGTAGTCACACTTGTCTACATTTCTACCATAAAAAATGACATGACAGGGAAGTTCAATGAAGAAGCCCAAGACGCAATCCATTGTGGTGAGTTAATGTCCATTGTTGGTGAATTCGCACTGCGAAAACCTGGCAACATCCCACCACAACCTTGGAAAAATCAAACTCATGCATCAAATGCCCCTTGTTAATATCATATGTATTTCACTAAGATGTTGACAACAAGAATGTCTTTCACAATTTGGCGCCCATAAAAATTATAGATTTTATTTGGATAATAGAAAATGAAATCAAAATGTGATGTTATTATTGAGGGAGAGTTTTTGATTGGGATACTCTTGACAGATAAGGTTATTCAAGTGAATGATTTCATTTTTGGTGATCACAACATGTAAGGAGAGGCGACGGGTGGGGCTACAATTTTGAGACAAAGGAGATACAACATTAAAGAGAAAGAAAAAAAAAAGACAAAACATGTTAACAGGATGAATGGCAAAAGATATACAATTATACATTTATTTGTAACGGTTATTCTCTTAATTAGGATAATTAGTTGTAGTAAATGTATATATGGCAGTTTAGCTTATTTAGTGGGCTGAAAATCAGCTTGACAGATTGTAATTACTTTGTATTTATATGAGAATTCTCCAGCAGGAGAACACACAGTTTTTGGCTTAATCTTCTCTAGGTTTTGACATGGTATCAGACTAGGTTACGATCCCAAAACCTAGTTTGTGTTTTTTTTCCTTGTTTTTCAGTCTCGTCCTAGATTCCTAATCCTGCTTTCTTGGTTATTTTTTCTTGATTTCTATTTCCCTAGCTCCATGGCTTCCGAAAAATATGATGTCTTGTTGGTTCGCCTTACTGAAAAAAAACTACTCAGCTTGGGCATTCCAATTTCAGATATTTGTCACCGGAAAAGATTCGTGGGGTCATGTTGATGGCAGGATTCCTGCCCCTAACAAAGACCAAGAGATGGTTGCTCATGCTAAATGGGCAGTTAAAAATGCTCAAGTCATGGCCTGGATCCTTGGTTTCGTTGATTCGAACATTGTCCTGAATATTCGCTCTTACAATACTGCAGCAACAATGTGGTCTTACTTGAAGAAAATTTATAGTTAAAAGAATGCAGCTCGTCGTTTCCAACTTAAGCACGACATAGCTATTTTTAAACAGGATAGTCTTTCCATCTCTGATTTGTACTCTCAATTCATAATCTTTGGATTGAATACACTGATATAGTTCATGCAAACTTGACTTCTAAAGGTCTAAGTTCCGTACAAACAATTCATGAAACTACTAAACGTGACAAATTTCTTATGAAATTACGATCTAACTTTGAAGGTATCCGGTCCCATCTCATGCATAGAGATCCTGTACCATCATTGGATGCGTGTCTCAACGATTTGTTACGTGAAGAACAACGTCTTCTTACACAGTCCATCATTGAAGAATAGAGATTGTCTATTGTTACCGTAGCATACGTGGCACAAGGGAAGTCACGACGCCATGACATGAGTGTTATTCAATGTTTTAGTTGCAAGCGATTTGGACACTATGCTTCCTCCTGTCCAAAAAAATTCTACAACTACTGCAAAAAGGATGGACATATTATTAAGGAATGCCTAATAAGGCCACTAAGGCGAACTGTAACAGCTTTTACAACCACCACTGATTCTTCTATTCCCAACAGTTTTGCCAATCCATCACCTGTCCAACAAAATGCTACTACTGTTGTTCCAACTTTGACACTTGAAATGGTTCAACAAATGATCATTTCAGCATTTTCTTCTTTGGGATTCTCAGGTAAATCCTCTTCACTGTGGTACTTTGATTATGGGGCTTCCAACCACCTGACCAACAATACTCGATTCCTTACTAATATAAAAAAATATTTGGGGAAGCTCAACATACATACTACTGGTGGAAAGCAATTGCCTATAACAGCAACTGGTGATATTTCTTCATCTCTAACAAATGTCTTTGTCGCTCCTGGTCGGTCTCACTAGTAATCTCATTTCTATTAGTGAATTAGTCGACAATGATTGTCGAGTTCAATTCTCACAATCTGGTTGTCTTGTGCAGGATCAACACTCGGGGACGATAATCGCAAAGGGGCCTAAAGTTTAACGTCTTTTTCCCATCCATTTCTCGTTGTCTCCAAGACTTTCTTTACCTTTAGTCTCTTGTAATTCTTCTATTGTTGATTATCAAGTATGGCATAGGCATCTTGGGCATCCCAACTCAAATGTACTCCATGACATGCTCAAATCTGGTTTTCTTGGAAATAAACACACCTCATCTCTTAATGATATTCATTTTGATTGCTTTCCTTGTAAGCTTGGCAAAAGTAAAATTTTACATTTTCCAACACATCAGTCGCATGTCACACAACCATTTGATATCATCCATAGTGATGTTTGGGGGGTAGCACCAGTTACATCTCATGCTCATTACAAGTATTTTGTAACTTTTATTGATGATTATAGTCGTTTCACTTGGGTCTATTTTCTGTGCTCAAAAGATGAAGTCTTTCCTACTTTCAAATTTTTGTATGCTTATGTTCAAGGCCAATTCTCCTTCAAAATCAAGATTCTTCGCTCTGCTAATGGGGGATACACCTCGCACTTATTTTAGGAATTCTTGCAAACCAATGGCACTTTATCTCAACGATCATGCCCATCAACCCCCCAACAAAATGGGGTAGCTAAACGAAAAAATTGCCATTTGCTAGATGTTGTTCGCACTCTTTTGCTGGAGTCGCATGTCCCATCACGTTTTTGGTATGAAGCCCTTTCCACTGCAGTTCATCTTATAAACAGATTGCCATCTTCTTCCATAAGTAATGAATCCCCTTTCACTCAATTATTTGGTCACCCACCCGATTACTCCACTCTTCGTATCTTCGGTTGTGCATGTTATGTCCATCTTCCTCCACGAGAATGCACCAAGCTCACTGCACAATCTGTTGAATGTGCTTTTCTTGGCTATTCTCCTCATCAAAAGGACTTTCTATGATATGATCCTAACCTGCATCTGTGACACCCTCTACCCCAACATACATATACAGTAATTATAAAAAAAATAAAAATTTTCATCAATAAAAATCAAATTTCCAACCACGTAAAGGTAAAGAGTTCACATTCATAAATTTAATCTAAATAACATGCCGGTAAAATTACAAAGAAATAAAACTGAATTTTCCAAAATAATTTAATAAGAACATCTTAAACTAATCTTATCTATGTCCCGATGTCACATGTCCTATCAGAGCAAAACCCAACATAGAAGCCTAAGCTTCATCACGAACATCTTCAGCCTCACGCTGATGATCACCTGTATAACAGTCAAAACAAAATAACACGAGAAACTCTGGCTCACGGTGTAGAAATATACGCCGGATAGCCAAACACAAACAAGACAGATATAGCATAAATATATTAATAACAATATTTCATCTCACTCATCCAAGACATAAACCATCACTTTATCATATAACATTGAAAATGCACATGTATGGACACGGACTACATATTATCATGCATGTGGCGCCAGTAAAACATCACATGGCATATTGCCGCTAGCAATACACGAAGAGTAGTCTAGGAGTACATGCCGGGTCACACCCTCTGCGCACTCTCACTAGAAGGATATACTACCAGAGTCTCGTCGGGATAGCTAAGCCGCGCAAGATACATCCCATGCACACAATGGGCGAGACTAGGACTTCCAAACCGAGCTATCCCCAAGGACTAATCCCCAAAGCTTTTACACTAGGGGGCCTTCTCTGGCGGTGTATTCCATATCGTACCCTTAAAACACTTATGCAAATGATGCATGTCAATCAAGACTCTATGCATTCTCATATCACATTATCATTTCCCATGGTCATTTCACATCATCACATTTCATCATCATATTTCATTATCACATTTCATATCTCATATCTCAATCACATTTCACATTATCTCATCATATTCACAAAGCCTCCACAGAGCACTTTAATTTATATCAAAACTCGTTTATTTATAAAATTAAATACATATTTTTACATATCATCAAACAAGGAATATAACAGAACAATCAGAAATCAAAACAGAAAATATTCATATTTTGCCTATTTCTCATAGGGTTTCCCGCAGGAACCCATAGAGCACTCTAAATCATATCAAAACATATTTATTTTCAAAA